CCCATTAGCTCTTGCTCAGCACTGCTCAGATCCCCTCTGAGGCTTCTCTTCTCCAGCTGAACAGCCCCAGGGCTCTCAGCCTGTCCTGGCACAGAGATGCTCCAGCCCCTCAGCATCTCCAGAGCCTCCCCTGGACTCTCTCCAGTAGCTCCTTGTCTCTCTTCAACCAGGAACCCCAGAACTGGTCCCAGTCCTCCAGAGGTGGCCTCACTGGGGCAGAGCAGAGGGATCAGGTTCTCCTCTGCTCAAGGAGCTGGTGTAAATCTCACCAAGTTCTTCAATATACAATCTACCTTCAGAGCTTCTTGGTGTTTCCCTGCAGCCTTCAACCTGGACTATTACACAGAGGTCCTGGACCTCTCCTACCTGGTGGAGCATTTAGCTTCTGACCCCTTCTTCAGGAACTACCGCCGCCTCAACGAGAAGCTGGTGGAGGTGATTGAGGACTACAGCCTGGTCTCCTTCATCCCCCTCAACGTCCAGGTGAGTGGGGCAGAGAGATCAGGGAGTGCTGCAGATCCAGTCAGGACACTTGGCAGCAGCTAAAATAAGTCAGCGTGGAGCCACGAGGGCTGAAAACCTCAGTTGTGAAGAGGTTTGGGCATGGAGGGAGGATGGCAAAACACACCCAGACTTGGAAGTGTTCTGTGGCAGCCAGAGGAGAAGGCTCATGGGCTTGGGGCTACGTGGACCTTGTGTCCCGGGGTTGGGAATTAAGGCTCCCCCCTCATTAAGCTCTTCTGTGCCTGCGTTTCAGACCTTGGTAAAGTGTGACTGAGAACGGTGTTAAATCAGGGAGCAGAAAGCAATTAGAAGATTGGGAGGAGCACATTGGGGAGGGAGGGCTGGAAACGTTCATCTGGGAGCTTGCAGGAGCAGCAGCAAAGGCAAATGGGCTGAGGGGAGAGGTGATGAAAGGCAGTGAGAGGCTGGGGGGGAGGGCCCCGGGGTGCCCCTGCTCACCCCGTGGCCCCTCTGGGTGCTGGGTGGGTGCCCCAGAGCCTCGGAGAGCGTCGGTGGCAGAGCTCAGTGTGAGGTGAGGGAAGGAGCAGGGCCCTGTGTGCCACCCCCCTCCCCTGCAGGACAAGGAGAGCATGCAGCAGGTGATGCGGGCTGTGGACAAAGCCAACGGCTACTCCTTCGGCGAGCAGGAGCACAGGAGCCTCCAGGCCCTCATGTCAGCTGCCATGGGAGCTGACTTCCACTTCACTTCGTATCCTTCTCCCCACATACCCCATGATGTGGAGTTTGGGGTTCTCTTTCCTTGGGCTGGCAGCTGCTGGTGTCACCTGGTGCTGTTTGGTGACACGGGTGTCACTCAGCCCTTGGCAGGCAGTTGTCCACACCAAAGCCACCACGTCTGTCACTAATGGGTATTGTCAGCATGGGAAGGATCTTTTGACAACTTTCCCCTCTCTCACCCTCACTCGGATGGGTTCATCCCACCTTGTCCAAACCATACAGCTGATCCTCCTCTCCTTGCCAGGGCTGGGATCAGCCTGGGGCAGGAATAACCCAATAACCCGGGCGCTGGGCGCTGCTGCCAGCCCACGGGGCTGCTCCCTCCCTGGGAACAGCAGCAGCTCCTTGCAGAAGGGAGTGTTCCAACCCAGCCCCTTGTTTTCCTTAATTACTGCCTTATCAGCACCCTGGCAGTGCAGGAGAAGTATGTGCAATCTCAGGACAAAGCCCTGGAAGAAGAAGTGATGGATCTGTAACACGCCCGCCTCTTCCACAGCCCCGCTCTGGTTCCACACCTCTCCCTTCTCCTGCCAGGAGCTGGAGGCATCTCCACGTCCCGTGGCTCAGACCGAGTGACAGCCCCTCCAGGCAGAGCTCTGGCTGCTGGACTCCTTCTCTGGAGAGGTTCCACCTCTTGTGCTTCAGCCCCACTGCCCAGAGCAGGGTTTCTGCAGGGAGGCAGTGGCTGAGTCGGGGCACGTTGGGTCTTCCCTTAGGAACAGGAGAGGTTTAGCTGGTGAAGGCTTGGTTGGCAAGAGAAGCAAGAGCAAGGAGCTCGACCTTTGCCAAGTCTTCTCCTCTCAATCACACCCCAGACTGATCCAGAGAAAGAAAATTCACTCTGAGCTATCTTCAGCAGTGAGCTGAGACTGAAGTTCTGGGTTTAGGAGGAGAGTGCACAGGCCTCGTGCTGAGAGGCTGAGAGGCCTCCTCTGTCTCAAGGAGGACAGAAAGAGGATTGTTTTTCTTTCTTTTTTTTTTTTAATATAATGATGGACTCTTCCTTAATAAAACACACCTTGGGCTGGCTTTCATCTTGAGTTTGCTGAACCAGGATAAATAAACCCAAGAGTGCTACGGACCTGAGGCTAAACAGCCTATGGTGGGAAGGTGGGGGCAGGGGGCTCGGTGTGTTTGCACCCTCCTGCTCCTGGGGAGCTGCTGGGGAGCCCCCCGTGTGCAGGGGCAGGGGGCAGAGCGGCTGGGGGGCGGGTCCCCAGGGACACAAACTGCAGGCTCAGCTTTTGGAGGCTGTGGGTGAAGAAAGCCCCTGTGTGAGTCAGAGGGAGCTGGAGCACGGCGTCTGCTCGCAGGGCCCTTCCCAGCAGCTGCCTTCCCTGCCCTCAGCCAGCCTCTGCTGGCCTTGCTCTCTCCCCATCCCCAATCCCTCACCTCCTCCCCATGGAATCCCCTCTCACAGCAGCTCCTGAGGGTGGCACTGGCAGATCCCAGCCCCAGGAGCCACCTTCCACAGGCAGCAGCTTGGGGCCATCAGGGTGGTGGATCCAGAGGGTCAGGGTGGTGATGACCAAGGTGTCTGCAGCTCTCTGGGCACCTCCTGGCAGCACGTGGGGTGGGAGTGGGTGGGAATCCAGCTCCCTCTGCAGACTCAGCATCACTCCTGGCCCAAGGCCTTGCATGAGGTGAGGTGATGCCTTTGTGCAGGGTGGTTCAGCCCTCAGAGCCATCACAGACCACCCGGGGAATCCAAACCTGAGCGGGGTCTTGCCTGGCAGGGACAGCAGCTGGGTGGGGAATTAAAACAGTTCTGGGTCTCTTCTTGGGAGCTTTCAGAAGAGTGTGGCCAGCAGGTCCAGGGAGGTTCTCGTCCCCTTCTGTAGTACTGGGTCCTGTTCTGGGTTCCTGGTTGAAGAGAGACAAGGAGCTACTGGAGAGAGTCCAGGGGAGGCTCTGGAGATGCTGAGGGGCTGGAGCATCTCTGTGCCAGGACAGGCTGAGAGCCCTGGGGCTGTTCAGCTGGAGAAGAGAAGCCTCAGAGGGGATCTGATCAGTGCTGAGCAAGAGCTAAAGGGCCCCCAGGGGGCAAGAGGCTGGGGCCAGACTCTGGTCAGTGGTGCCCAGAGACAGGACAAGGGGCAACGGGCACCAACTGGAACCCAGGAGGTGCCACCTGAGCAGGAGGAGAAACTTCTTTGGTGTGAGGGTGCAGAGCCTGGAGCAGCTGCCCAGAGAGGCTGTGGAGTCTCCTGCTCTGGAGAGATCCCAAACCTGCCTGGCTGTGACCCTGGGCACCCTGCTGTGGGTGACCTGCTGGAGCAGGGGGGTTGGATGAGATAATCCCCAGAAATGTCACTACACTGACATTTCAAATATAAAAGTCAGATTCCATCTACTTTTGGTGCCTGAGCTTTTTCCCCAGAGCCCAAGGACTTCCCTGGGTATTCCTGGCTGAAATCTGGCAGCTGTGTCTCAGTGCTGTCTGGAGCTTGAAGGTCTGGGAGCCAACTGAACCATAACTGGAGCCGAAACTCCATCCCTGCCTTGAGGTCCTGTCCCCGTCCTCTCTGAGCCCTGCAGTTTCTGCAGAAGGGTGGAAGAGGTGATCATAAAAAAATGCAAATTTTATGGCAGCTTTTTCATTGCTTTGAGAGATTCGGTGGCTTAAAAGGGTAACGTTGGGTCAAGCTGGAGTTATGCAAGAGCCATCAAAGCTTTTGTGGCTGGTTTGGTTTGGTCTTTCTAATACCCAGGTGGTATCTGCAGCCCCAGCCCTGGCACAGACTCAGGGCTGGAGAAAATGAAAACCAAAAGTGGCAGAAACCTCTGAGCTCAGGGAATCGACCGTGTCCAAGCCAAGGAATGCTGAGCTCTGAGAGAGCCCCAGCCTGAAAACCTCCAGGCTTGGCACCAAGGGGCTCTTCACAGCCTGGGTTTGGGAAGCAGGGGCTGTCCTGGCACCCCTGGCTCAGCAGGGATGGTGCCCACTTGCTGCTCACTGCTCCTGGTCAGGGGGAAGCAGAAAGTGGCTCTGGGGGGACCCTGTTTGTGACATCCAGCTGGCTCCTGCACCCACATGTCCCTGTGCTGGGAGGCTCCTGGGGCTGAGGGAGGTGACACTTTGGCTCCTGTCACTCCTGTTGAGCAATGGGCCGGGGCGAAGGGCCAGGATTAGTCACCCCAACTGAGGCACATCCCTGGGGGGCTGGGGCTGGGCGTTCTGCCGAGCTGATCCTACCTGCCCCAGCCCCTCCAAGCCCAGCACTGGGACACTCTGAGCCCACCTTGGCCACCCTGGGGACCTCCTGGGTGACACCGAACGCGGCAGGTTGTGTCATGGGGGCTGGAGACGTTTGGGTTTCGGTTGCAGCCACAGGGCTGGGGTTTGCTGTGTCCCCCCACCCCTCTCTCCAGCCCCAGCCCCTCTCTCGAGGCTGGGCCAGCACACCAGAGCCCTGCTTGCACATTCCACCAGGCAAAGGGTCCCCACAGCTGCTTGCTGGGGAGGCAGGAGCACCCCAGAGCCAGGTCACCCCCAGGCACCTGCAGGTCCCTCTGCACAGCCCAAAACACAGCACCTGGATCAGCCCTGTGCAAACGTGGCTACCAGGAGGTGATGGCAAGTGATTTCAGCAGCCCCCAGCCACTGCCGGGGGGGGT